AATATTGGATATCTTATTGGATATAAGTCCAGCATTTAATATATTATCTAGATCCCCTCTCTAAAATACTATATCAATATACTGTATATGATATTTGATGAGATATATATCTACTATATTAAATGATCTATACTGCCTCTGCAAGTATGAGAACCCCTAGAATACCTTACAGATACCCTTGACCAAGAGGATATAGATATAGACCCAGTATAGGATCTTCTAAGGGATCCTATACCCCTAGATATATCTCCGGTATTATAACTGCTATCAGAGGTAGGGGGTGAAGTATAGGATAGCCAGCAGGGTGATCAACTATCTGCAAAGCTATCAGACCCTCCGGCCTCTCCAGGCCTGAATCCCTTGAGTATCACTATCTACCTGACTCTGTCACCAGATCCCATCAAATCAAGTATCATGATGCTCCTACTGCCATCATCAGAACCAGAAGAGATGTAGCTTGCACCCGAGCCCGAAGAGGTGCAGCTTGTACCTGAGCCTGAAGAGATACAGCTTGCATCTGAGCCTGTAGAACTGCAATCTGCTCCTGAACCCCAGGAACTGGAACTGAGACAGTCATTGCAAGCCCTGAAGCCTATACAATAAGCCCTCAAAAGTATGATAATAGTTAGATATACTGCAGGAAGGATTTATACTATTATAGTACAGGAGCAATACTGATATCGAAGAGATATACTATCTAAGCCAGGCTATTACAGAGAAGTAATATACTATCAATTTCATAAGGAATAGGCCTCTATAGAACTAGATGAGATAAGAAAAGTCTTTAAGTAAAAGATAGCTCTTCGGATATCTAAGAAGTCAGCTATATTATCACTACTGCCCCTCAAGTAGATATATAACTATAAGTTCAACCTAGAAGGATATATCACCAAGTTCAAAGTCTGCCTCTGTATTCGAGATAATCAACAGCCTATAATAGAGAGAGAGATATATATAGCTATACTTACTATAAGGATCTTTTGAACTCTGATATCTATTACTATAAAGTTTGATCTCAAGATAAAGCAGTATAATATGATAGCAGCCTTCTTAAATAGTACTTTTGATAAGGATATCTGATACTATCTACTGGATAGATATTATTAGCAGGATTAAGTTTAGAAGCTCTTTAAGGCCCTCTATAGTCTTCAAATCTTATCTATTCTTTGATATAAGAAGCTTTATTTAGCTCTCTCTGAGATAAGGCTTAAAAGGATATAAGAAGACTTATATATCTTCTCTAATAGCTATATTATTGTCTTCTTCTTTGTAGATAATATCATTATGATATTCTGAAAAGAGGAGGAAGAAGAATAGAAGTATATCGAAGCTGCTCTTATAGAGTACTTTGAGATGATAGGAGGAAATAATACTATCTGATTCCTCAAAATGAGGATCTCAAGAGACTGAGAAAAGAGGCTCTTATAGCTCTCTCAGGAGACCTATATCGATAAAATCATAACCTGCTTTAAGTTAATATCTGTATATAAGGCCACTGAGATATCCCTCAAATCTACTATATACTTCAAGAGTATTGATATATCTCTTATATCTACTGTTATCCTCTAATCTACAATAGAAAACAATGAGCTCAATGAGATAGGGTATCTGAGATACCAGGTGATAGTAGGATCACTGATCTATACTGCTATAATGACTTGGCTAGATATCTTAAGAGCTATAGCAGTTCTATTATAATCCTCTCACTATCTAGAGAGGCCTTATGAAGAGGTAGCTAAATATTATATCTGGTATCTCTATAGTATCTATTTTCTCGCCCTCCGAGCTAGGCAAAGTGATCTCTTTAAGTACTACAGTGATATCTTATTTACAGATAATATTATAGACTGTAAGAGCAGCTAGGGCTTCCTAATAAAACTATTTGGATACCTAGTATACTGGAAGGCCGGGAAGCAGGATACTGTAATTATATTATCAATAGAAGCAGAACTTCTTATACTTATATATACTACTAAAGAATAACAAGTACTCGAATATCTCCTTGAGTAGCTTGAACTTGAACTTAATTAAAGCCTGAGCCTTATCAGCAATAATCTCTAAATAATATATCTCCTGAAGAAGAAGACTGCTTAGCTTTATATATACCTTAAGTATATCGATATCTATCAGCACTAGCTGAGATAAGAGGTCCAGTAAGGGCATATATAATTGCAGTAGGTCCCTACTTACTAGATAGCTGCTGATAGATTTATGAAAGTCCTTATAAGAGCTAAGTATATAAACTTCATCGAATAACTTGGGATAGAAGATATCAGGGCCCTCATAGAAGAAAAATCTGCTGATTCTAAGATATCAAATGATATCTTAGACCTCAAGGAAGAACAGTTCCTTTAGCTGAGAGAATAATTCACTGCTTTGAGCAGCTAGATAAGGCAATTCAGTAGGGAATAGTCTCACCTAGGGGGGTATATAAGAAGGGTCTGAGTACTATTACAAGGCCCCAAAATGCTAGTATATTAGAAGGATATATCAACTTAAGTGAGATGTCGCAAACCCCTGTAAAATTAGGCTTGCCAGCTGACAGGAGAATTGCTCCTGTACATGCATCTCACGTATATAAGGGATGCACTTATTCCACCTAGTTATCATGAATATGAAGGACAAGGTGGTCCCGTATTCCCACAAAAGGATGAGCCCGGGAGGGCTTGTCAAAGTCTTAGGCCAGAGGTGAAGGTATTCAGAAGTCAAGGTCACATCCTTAGAACCGAAGCTACGGTTCCAGACTCACACATGAGCCGTACAATCTGGTTACAAACGAAAGATATATATTGCTTGATCTCTGAAGTAAATAGAATAAGGGCTCCGAATGCCCTAAGTACAAGAAGGAAATAGGATAAGTGGATATCCCGAACCTCCGGGCCGGGCCCCCCTGAGCCACTGTACCGGAAAGGTCCGGTCTCTCCATATTTTTATACTTAACAAATATATTAATAAAAATATAATAACGATAATAGTGTTAGCCATTTTTAGATTATTACTAAGAAGATAATATACTAGAAATTTTGGCGTGTAGTTTTCCACGGGGGAGATTCTTGCCTTTCGCATTTGTCCGAGCTTACCTAGAAACTTGGTAGCACCGGAATGTTTCTACGAGTAGCATGATCTGGCTAAATCCTGAATACCACACCTGAGCAAATATGCGCGTGTATGCGCGAATTGACCCCTCAATCATAGCATAACGGAGCAGCCTATCGCCTAATCCCATGTATTAAACTAGTGATAACAAGATGCTCGCCGCTTGCACTATGACAAGGTCCTCTAGGGTTCTGGGTTGACATAGTGGAGGTCCTTAGAGCATGAGTCCAGGTGCAGCTATATAAGCTGGCCTCCTTTGCCTCCATAGCCGTGGACGATGTCACACTCGTCCTTACTCAGGATCCCACAGTAACCACACGCGGCATGACAATTATTACCCCAGCTCTAATCATGTTTACCTCAAAACCCTTCGGCCTTGTGGCCGTCGGAATCATCATGCTTCAGCTTCTCTCCCCAGTGGTAGCCCAAAGCGCGACGGAAGAACAACTTCGAAATAGGAATAGAACAGTTTCGCTCGGCATCGTAGGTTGCATCCTCCCTCCATCCAACAATATTGAATACTAAGATTTTGCCAGGTCGTCTTTCCTGGGTGGGAGCCACTTGATGTCTTCGGGCCCCTAGAGCTCTTCTTCTCCGTAAGACCATCCTGGTGCCCATTTTCAATGAGCACCGCCAGACAAGCTCGGTCATGAACGTCAACGCTAACTGGTCGTATTCTATCATAACTCCAGATATCGGTGGCCCATAAACTGGTGTTATCCGTCATCGCTGCCGAGACCGGTCTGGTCTCGGCCGGGGTTCCACCTCACTTAATGAAGCCCGGCGAGCCGCCCATGGACGTTGGATACATGCTTCAGCCTAAGATTGAAGCTACCCATACCTTCGCTAACGCCCCGGCTCTCGATATCATTCTCATCCCTGGGGGCTTAGGGAACGTTGCTCTCGAGCAAGCCAACGACACCTCAGTTGAGGATTTCATAGCGCTCCGGGCTGACCATGCTGAGTATCTTCTGAGTGTATGCACGGGGTCGGTGAGCCTTGCCCGAGCGGGGGTACTGAAGGGTCGCCGTGCGACGACAAACAAAGGGGCATGGGATTGGGTCACGAGCCACGGCGGTGACGGGATTAACTGGGTGCCTACGGCGAGGTGGACTCAAGACGGGAAGGTCTGGACGAGTTCCGGTGTCGCGGCTGGCATAGACATGGCATATGCGTTCCTGAGGCACTTTTACGGGGAGGACGACGAGAATTTGGTAGCCACGATGAACGGGATCGAGTATGCGCCGCACACGAACGCGGACTGGGACCCGTTTTCGGTCGTTCATAAGGTATACTGGCGGTGCACGACCCCTACCTGCGGTCCGTTGACACTAACCATCCATGACAAGGTTCCTGGGGCCGATCCCGATGCGAATGTTGAGGGTTGCGTCAAGCCAGTTGGATTCTGAAAACTTTCCACTTGTTCCTGGCGCAATCTGCCACTTATCGGTAAGCAATGCTGATCCTGGATCAAGCTGCTGACACGAGTTATACACCGCCGAACATGTATGAGAGAGGCGCTGAGCAGGTGGTAGGGGCTTAAGTTTGTATGCGACATAAGGACGTGGATCAATGGGAGCGGGGGCGGCAATGCTATCGTTATTTTGCTTTCACCGTCGTGCTCCAAGACAAGCCTGTCCTCGCACTACTTGGCAATAGACCCCTGATATTGACAATCACACTCACGCCGCTGTCCACGGATCGGACATCAACCCTATCCAGCCGCCAACTGAAGTCTCCCCAGTCCCCTTCATGTACTGAAAGAACATCACGACCGAGTCTCACCTCACATGTCATGTTGTTTAACACACCTGGAGTATGGAAAGGTGTTTTGGACTCGCCCGCCAACAAATATCTACCTACAACTGACCCGATGATCCCAACACCCAATTGCTGGGAGCATCGCCCTTATAGCTCAGTGGTAGAGCGCGTCACTAGTACTAGCACCTCGAGAAGTCGAGTGGGTATGACGAGGTCGTAGGTTCGACTCCTACTGAGGGCAGGCCCTTTATTTTTGTCTTTTTGTAGCATGGATTCAGGTCGACGCTTACTATTAGCTTCGTGTTTAAGAGTGGATTTCTTTACTTGGCACCTCTGAGTCCTGTAATTTTGAGGGATATATGACCACTGTGACACTGCAATTTTGTTGAATAGGGTGGGTATACATGATATTTTGTCGACTCTCTTTGGTATCGACGGCTATGTTCTTCCCTGAAAGTCGGAAGATGAGACCTAGGAAGGCCAGGTCTGTACTGGGAACTCTCACTGAAAAGCTAGCAGTAAATGGTTGGCGTTCAAAGACATACATTATAGACAATGTCAGGTTTTAATCCTCAGATAAAATCTAGCATGTAAGTGAGGAGGATGGCGTGTAGTCCTCTGAACCGCCGCTACCTTATCACTCCGCTGCGAGAAAGGATATAGAAAATCCTACATTTTTCTTACTGGCTGGTTTGGCAGCAAACTGATGATTCGCTAAGATTAAAACAGAAACTAGTAACGGTGGGATTCGAACCCACATCTCAACGCTGTCTAGATATCGTGATATCCGTGATGTTGGCTTAAGGATGGAGGGATTGAGTGGGCTTAGTGGGTTGAGTACACCTGTATACACAGAGTTCACAGTGGGGCTAGATGTCAATGTACTCGAATGTTAGTCATCAAACAAATCCTTATGTAATGGTGCGGTACGGATTCAATCCGGTGTGGTACATAGCGAGTCCCTTAAAAAAGTGTAAAAGTCGGGGCTGCTTTGAACCTCGCAAAGGAGAGACGTCATTGCTTTGTCAGCCTGGTATACTCTAATACAGAACGCAGGTTAGACTCGATATTGGAATCCACGGGCAGTGCCTGCAATTTGGTTGGCTATAATACAACGAAATAACTCCGAAGGGAAAAGTAAATGTAGGCCCCACAACAACCCCATTCGCACAAAAACGCCTCAAAAAACTACGCAAAAAAAGATCGGTCGGTACCCGAGTATTTCTCAGGTGCACTGGGAATTGAGCCCAATGCGGGGGTCGAACCCGCAGCCTTCAGATTAAGAGTCTGACGCTCTACCGATTGAGCTAACCGGGCGGGGTTATTGGATTGTGAAGGTGGTTGCCGGAAAAACATTTTAAGAGCCTCTCATATGACGTTGCTCAGCTGGGCAAGGTATGGACCATGCTTGATATTCGAGGTGATGACCATCTGCTAGGGGAGGAAGAGCATGACCAGACTTCTGACGGCGAGTACCTACATAACCCAATCTCTACCTATTCGAGTTATGTACCTCATGTATGGATGAGCTGTCCCTAGCCCAAGGCCACTCCGTAGCTCGTTTTCTCAAGGTAGTCCCAGGTTGTCTCAGATGAGGTCATCAGTCTTCCAGTCCTAAGTCGGAATTCCCTGCGAGGTACAAGAAGCCATTTTCATGGAAGCTCTGCACTTCAAGAAGCAAGAAGTTTACCTTACCCATTAGTCGAGCACTACATCTACATTGTACACTCCTGGCCAGCGGGCCCGCCGGCGCTTACTCTCAAAACCCAAATGGGCGAGGAGCTGTGTGATTTGAAGCGGACCAAGGGGGGCTATGTGCCTTCAAAAGTTCCCGAGATATTTGAAATCATTACATTACTATGCATCTGGACGTGGGCATGTTGTTATGTTTCCAATTAACAACTACCATATCGTCACTGATTTGCACTAACCAGACACTCTGCGGTGCATATTGACGGATCTGGCGTTCCCACCCGAAGCTTTTACCATCAAGACTAATCACAGCTACTCCTTCAACATGTGCAGCACCTCAATATTGTTTCCCAGTGGATCAAGAACAAAAGCCGCGTAGAAGGCCCTCGAGTACTGGCGCTTTCCAGGCCTGCCGTTATCAAAACCCCCTGCTTTGCTAATCCAAGCGGTCAGTAAAATAAAATCAGCCATCGCCACGGCAATGAATGAAGGAGACTCACATGGCGGTATCGTACCACTCGTCGACTACCTCGGGGCTCGCCGCGTCGAAGGCCAGGTGGATCGGTGCGATGCGATTCTCCATCTTGCCGTCATACATGGGGAGTGCCAGGCTGTTGGGGCCGAGGCCGAGCCAGAATATGGGGCCGGACGTCTTGGTGCCTAGGCCGCAGAACTCTTGGCCCTCGCCGTCGCCCATCTTGACCTCGTAGCCGAGGGGCTTGAGAGCGGCAATGTAGAAGTCACGCATAGCGGCGTAGTGCCTGCCTACGGGAAGGCTTATATGCGAGAAGGTCATGATTATGATGAGCGTGTTTGGCGATGGTGGACTCAGTCAAGTGTATTTGAGATGACGCTAGTGCGTCGAGGGTGTTATCAATTGGCCAAAGGCCGGGTAGCCATCGATATAGATCCTGTAGGACTCCGTTAAACTCTTCTGCCTGCATTTGCCATTGGTCATAGAGAATGAAAAAGTCCTACGCGGGGTCACTATAGGTCTGTCCACCATTCTACGACGTCGATTAGTAATTGTCCAAGTTCGAGTCCATCCCTTGGGCAGATCTAATGTTGAGAAGCAGAAAGTTAATTGGCGTGAGCCCATGAGGATGCATAAGTTGGGTTCCAACCGGAACTCGGGGTTCCCTGTTCTCGGAGTTCCGAGATCGACCCACGGACGGACGCTCTGGGCATCCAATCCATATTGACATCATTGCCCGTGTCCCGCCTGTATATTCATAAACCCCCCCCCTAAGACTAATAGAACACCAAAGCCTTCGAGGTGAACAGTATAGGAGAGAAATTGGCCCGCCCTGTTTATACAATGGTTATCAGGTAGATTGACTTTCCATCCTCCTCCCGCGCAACAGGTATCGTCTTTGCCGAATCCGTGTTCTCGAACTCGTCTTGGAGGGCCCCTACTACATCTCTTTCTCCCCTTGCGAACAGAAATTTAGAGAAGCCTGCGCGTATGAATACGTTTCTCGCTCCATCGTGGTCCAACCTTGGCATGTGTTCTAGGATGAGACTAGCTCCTTCGACCACCCCCTCCGCTCGTAGCTCCTCGAGTACAAGTAGATACCACTGTTGATTCGCAGTTCTGCCAGATGCATCATCCTCCCGGTCCATCTTGACCTCGGTGCTTCTGGACGTAGAGTCATCTTCTCCGCCGATGGCAGCCAGATCCTGGATTATGGCGAGCCTTCCAGTGAGGCAGAGAAACCCTCCCTTTACCTGCCCAAAAATGTTATCGGTGACTAACTCAACCCCAAGGCTGTGGACTGTCGCTGTTTGATGCCGCGTGTACACGAGCTCGTCGACCAGGTAGTGGGCTTCGAGCGCATAGTGGCTGACGGGCACGTTTACCGAGGCCCAGGACCAGCTGGGGGCGACGTAAGGTGATCCGGGGGTGTTTTGAGACTTCCAGCTCCCTACGTCCCACATGAGTTGGTGTATGAGATCATACTCCCAGATGCCTGCCAGATATCGAGTCTTGATCGACTCCTGAGTACGAGAGGCAATACCGCCAATCGCGAGCAGCTTGTCTGTCTCGTAGGTGAAGGCGCCATGTGCGCTGTAATTCTCGATTATGTCATTCCACATTCTTACCGCCGCGTCTTTGTCCAAGGAACTCGTGTTGTCGAGGGCGGCGTGCCAGTAGGTCTTCGATCGGCTGATCATAATATTTTTGGCGTCCAAGTCCCTGTCGATCGTATTCCCGGGCCACGCGCAGCAAGTCTTCTGCCCGCACTCCCAGTACACGGTGGCTCGTCCGAAATGCAGGATCCTGGTGCTCAAGAATCGCTCCTGGAAGACCCAGCCGCGCCAGTTCAGGGGTGTGAAGTTCAAGGCGTGGCTCCGGAACGAGCCCCCGTTCGCAACCAGGTGCCACATGTCCTTGGTTCCGTCGATATCAATTAGAACTTGAGGCAGCGGCAGCTTGTCGAGGAAGAGCCCCTGAGTGCCCTCCGTGGCTGCCGTGGCGGCCAAGTTGCAGAGCCCGCCGGCGTATACTTGGGCCATCATCGCTGCTTCCGTCTGCCAGTCGTTGGCGGAATCTTGGATAATGCAGAGGCTATCGATCCATAGGTATTGCACTCCTAGTTTTTGAGTCGCGTATATCGCTTCCTGGAACGTTTTCGATAACCCATCAGCGGATATGGCGACGCGGAACTCTTCCAGGTTCTCCAACATCAATCTTTTTAGAACCACGGGACCCCAGCAGTGGCTCAGTGTGAAGTATGGCGTCTTGGGGTCTATTTCTTCCTTGAGTCGTAGCCGCAGTATGGGATTGAGGAGTGTTCCGACTTCTAGAAGCCGCGACGGGACGAAATCGGACGACTTGGCTCCGCAAGTCTCTTGGTGGTGGGCTTGACAATCCTCGATCCATGCCTTCATACGGTCCCACGGCGGCGGACTACGAGTGTTGACGCCGTACGGGACTCCGTCGGAGCAACCTGTGCTGCGAATCAGTAGGACCCTGACAACAAGCGTGGCAGTTCTTTCGTACCTGTACACTTCTTCTTCCTAACGCGATGTAGCCTTACACTGAAGGACTTTTCATAGGGCCGGGGCGAGAACCTGCGTATCGCAAGGTCTGTTTTATGGTACTTATCGTTTGGGGGACCCCATGATCGCCAGCTTCGGATATATGCCCACCGCTCGGTTTCGCCTGCGCCTTGGGAACTCTTCTTCGTCATGTTGCGAAAGGTCGTCGGCTCGAAGCTTCTGGTCTCGCCTTCGAGGGACTCGTAGACCATGGCGCAAAGCCGACATCCAGCAGCGGCACGATCTTTCAGGCTGCCGTCCACCCAGAGCAGCTGAGTTTCGGGTACCCCCCGGCTAGGACGTCCATCTCCTGCTAGCTCTCGGTCTTTCACGGAACCCCAGCGGCTTAGGGCTTCTCGGCAATCCTTACACAATGGAGACTCCGGACCCGAATCTATAGGTGTGTTCTGAGCTCCTGTAATGCGGCTTTTTACAATCCTATGACAGGTCGTAATTAGCTGTCCGATGCATTATGCAAATGTGGTCCAGTCCTTCATACTTCCACAT